ATAATTAAAATTAAAAGAAAAAATATTACGTATAATTAAGAAAATCACTTCACCGATCTAGAGATAATATCACATCTGGAAACACTCGCACAATAGTAAATAAATTTTTTTATTCCTTTACTCTTCTACCTATTTGCATGCCTTATTAGGATTCCAACCCATAATCTTTTTACAATTATTTGAGTTGAAACTTTCAGTTCAAATGCATTGCATCCTACGGAAGAAAAGACCCCACATTTTACATTTTTAATAGGAGTGTCCACGTTAGGAATTTCATCATTTCCATGTAAAATGTGAAACTTTCTCTCTCTCTCTGAAATATTTTTCTCAAGCATCAATTAGTTCCATGCGCAATGTAAAAACTAGATGTATACATCGTCTTTTCCCTTTTTTTTTTTTTTTAAAGCGATATATATATCGTCTAAAGTCTAAACTTCAATTATAGCCCGCATGGGGTGGTGATGATGCCATCCGTAGTTCAATTCACAATGCATTCCATATTTGCATTCTAAAAGAAATAAGAGAAAAAAGAACCGACATTTTAGTCTATTAAAACTTCAAACACCAATTATTCTTAATATATATATAAGTGAATAGTATTTATTTGTTTTATTTTTTTAAAATTAGAAAAAAAATTATTTTAAAATTTTATTATTTCAATAAATTTTTATTAAAAAAATTAAAATATTTTATTTTTAAGATTTAAATTAATTGTTTTTTTATCTTTTTTGTTATACTTTATTGAGATGAATAATTTTAAAGTAATTTTTTTCTTAATTTTTAAAAAATAAAGTAGATAAACACTAACTCTTATATATAAGGTGAAATGATGTAATTGTTTTTTTTTTTTTTACAGTCATGGAGTCAAGGTGTTTTTAAATTAATTTTTTAAAAATAATTTTAAAAATACAACATTGCGCCTCAAATAAAAAAAATTTTTAATTTAAATTTAACTTATAAAATAACACTTAACTATAAATAAATTCAATCATGGAAAACAAAACTTTAAATGATGTAATTCCTATCTTTTTTAGAATAAATAAAAAAAAGAAAGAAAAGAAAAAGGTCGAACAGAATCATAGCGTAGAACATAATTAATTTTTCTTTTTTCTTTTTTTTAAATGAAGGTCACTTCTGCTCTACGGCTCTTAGCCTTAGGAAAATTGTGGTCTATATATTTAAGGACTTGGATAGACCTTCAAATTACATCAATCTCTCATTACCCAACAATAGTAATTTAATATCAACGTA